GTTCATGCATGCTTCACAGGATGCACACCCAGACATGGTTGACGAAGTAAGCTGGAACCACAGTACATGCGAGAATGTTGCTGATGTACGCCGTGCCGTGTTCACCAGTTAGTCGCCTTCTGGGCAGTACACTATCCACCGTTCAGGCGAACGTACGTGATCACCATGGCCAATCTTGTACTCAATGTAAGCTGTGGCCGACTGCGGGAAGGGTGAGCGACTGAAGGCAATCGCGTTTCATGCCACAGAGGACTCCAATGAATGCAGATGAACTAGCAAACGTCCGGTGCCCCATTCTTATCATCCAGGTACAACTCTCCCACACGTTGCCTGCCTCGTCTCGGTCGCACTGACTGTCCGTGCCAGGCTGAGCGTAGCCAAACACATCCAATGGAGTACGCACAGCAATTACGACAGGCATTGGTCAACGTCCCTAACGGCGCCCAGCTGTTCACCGTGAAAGGTAACAGGATCGCTACCATGACTTAGCATTGACACTCACCTGGACTTGTGGCGAACCAGCTACTCACGGTTACCTAAGCATCCTCTCGTCGTCGATCGTCAATCAAGTCCTCAACAAGTTCCTCGCGCGCCAGCCCCCAGTTCGGAGTGATCTAAAGTCACCCGAAGTCCCTCTACAGGACCGGATGAAGATGGCCCTCGACCAGCTCTCCGACTTGAGAGATGACCCCACCATAGGCGAGCGCGACCCAGGGTCACCCTTGTCATTTTGCTGTGTCACGGAGGAGGTCCGCAAGAGTCAGGAGGAGCTCTACCAGCTGTATGCCGAAGGCATGCACAATGCGCTATCGCCGCTCGCCCCGGACGGCCGACCGCTACGCAAGTACGTCGTCCTGCGCCGTCAACTTGACGTGAATTGTTGCTAATTCCTTGTAGATACTCGGAGCGGAAGGACGAGCACTGGCTCGACTCGAGCACCGATGGATTCTCGTATGCGAGTACGTGTTGTCCGCCTGTCACCTTTGCCGACCTGCTAAACTGTGATAACCTTGCCAGACGTCAAGCAGTTGACGGACCGGCTGAGCGAGGCGAACAAAGACAAGAAGCGGCCGGGGAGACGCCAGCCGGGCGGTCCCGCCGCCGAACAGGAGACGGTGCTCTTCATGCCTTCAGAGCCGGTCACGCAGGAAGTGCAGCAGGTCGCACGCATCCGCCGGGCGACCGTCCTTCCCCAAAGTCCTGCAGACAAGCACGTCATCAAAGGCTCAATGGCGAAGGTTCTCGCATCCGGAGCAGGAACAAGTCTACAGCGCAGGCTGCTGCGTTAGACTCGTTCTCTCGTCCAGCTTGCTCTATCTATACTCATTTATTGGCTCCTGGCTCGATGTCTTGACCACAGCTCAGGCTCTCCGCTCGTTCGTTGTCCCTATTGATCCATGGGGAGCATACTTACCTCGCGCCTTCCGATCTCCACGCGGAGCTGACCGGATCTCCACCCATCCGCAAGGGTATGGGCATTTGTGACCGATCAGCTCGACTCGCTGTACCACTTGTACTCTACGATATCCCATGCTCCATCTCTGAGGTGTCTCCGTACTGACTGCACTCTTGATGATACCTGTAGGCTTGCGGGCCGCTGCGAGGCCCATTCTAGTTGGTACGGTACTACATGTCACGCTACTCACTCGTTACCTGCTACACACTCGATACGCTCACTAACATACATAGCTAGAGAAAAGTACCTAGACGCGTGGATCTATCTGCATTATGCGATAATTCCATTCCCTGCATTCTGGACCCTGCGAACCCCCATGCAAGTTTGAGATGCTCTACAATGCGGAAGGTTGAGCTCACTGGCAAGAGGTTGCATTCGGCCTCATTGGAGGCTGGCACTCCCATAGGCCACGTCGATTGCAGACGACTCCTGTCGTGATGCGCTGACTAGACGTTCATTGTGGTGAGTGTGCCGTACGCACATCAGAGATAGGTAAATCTACGGCACAGACGATCTACCCATTTTGGACGCTGCTCTCAGGAAGCATCTTCCCAATGTCGGACCACCCAATCGTCTCGCTATACGGTTGGAACGTCCCGGGTGTGGATCCAGGAATAGTCGATTCCGTACCTGTCGCTCCGTTCATGCTCCGAAGTCTGAACCACGCGTGGGTGATTTGCCAACGAGATGGGATGCCACCCTTGAATTTTTGAAGATGTCCACCGTCACGACCACTGAGAAGTACCCTGACGTATGTGCGATTCCCTCTGCAGTAGTCTTAGACCCCACAAGTGTCTGTCTAGGGTCTAGACGTAGCTGTGATATGGTGCCCATGCGTCCGAACCGAACCCTACGAACGCATTTCCGGGGTCGCCTGCAAGATGACTTGCGGTGCCGCCGCCTCATTGTTCCGCGGGGGATTCTGGTCGGCTCTGGTCACCGGTGAGGGGAGGATGAGCTGTCGGGCCTCGATATGTGCCTATCCTCTTGGCATAGAGGGATGTAACGACTGTCCAGACGCGCCTCTCGAGAAGGTTCGATAGAGGGAGGCAGTGCGATGGTTGCAAACACGAGGCAAGAACCCAAGGGTCGACGGTTAGACAGCGAGCATGTCCTTGGTGCAGCGTGCGAGACCGGTCTGCCCAGATCTTGCACGCATGCATTAGTTCCTTTACCGCTGCCTTATTTGAAGTCTATCGTCCCTTGGTCTTTTGAACCTTCTGCCTGCCGTCTGGGATCGCCCTTCCATGCATGCCCCGCATGTTCCCTGGGGGAGCGGAGGATCTGGGGGTTCAGTATTCAACCGTTAATCAGCTGTGTTAGGAGGGGTAGGGCTACGTACTGACATTGACACCCGCAGTGATGGCTAGATGTGAAAGACCCAGGGCGAGAGCTGGCGTGCGCTGCGCAAGCTCGTGGCAAGCCTTGTGTTTTCAAGTGGCAGTTCACCAGACTACACTGTTCCAGGCGAACCGCAAATGAAAGCTGAGGTGGCTGACGTGCCACATCGAACGGGAACGGGAATGCGACTCGAGCTGGGAAGTTGGCATCACTATAGCGCGAACAGGAGAAATCCAGAGGTATCATTATACATACATGCTATGGTATAGCCTCTAACCGCATGGCCGATTCGCCACCCATATCACAGATAGATAGTCCCGAGGCGGACACGCAAATACCACGTACACGAACGATGGAACACGCGCTAGTCATCCTCGCTGTCCTCACTGCTGGAGTACTCGTCATCGTCGCCGAAGTCGGCACCGCCACCTACAAACTGGTTGAGGCTGACAGGCAAGCGCTCCGTGACGGGTGACCCAGCACCCAGGGCACCCATGAGGAAGTCCTCGTCTTCGAAGTCGGCCTCTTGTTCGGGTTCGGGTTCGGCTTCTGCTGGTCCCTGCAGCTCTTCCTCGAGCTCGACCTCGAACGCATCCATGTCGATGGGGTCGCCCTCGGGCTCTGGCTCGGGCACGCGAGCAGAAGGGACAAATTCGATCTCCTCCATTGTGATTACAGGCGCCAGAGATGGCGCGGCCACTGTTGGCGGTGGAGGCGGGATCGTGGTTACATCGTCCCACTCTTCCTCGTCGGAGTCGACGGTGGAGGGTATTGTTGTTGATGGTATTGATGGTAGCGTGGAGGACGTAGGCGCAGGGCCCGAGATGGCTGTCGTCGTACCTGCCGAGAGCGGGGGAGGCAGAGAAACGGCGGTTGTAGAATTGGGGAGGGACAATGATACAGGCTGTTTGGGCGGCGGCGGTTCTTTCTTCTTGTCCTCGATCTTGGGTTTCTTCGGTCTGGGCTGCACCGGGCGACGGATCTCATGAACCTCCTCCTCAGGTGGCGGGCGTTTGTTCGGACCTTTGCTCGGGGCCGCAGGTGCAGGCGCCGGAGCCGGCGCAGATGTGATCGTTGCTTTGCTCTTCGACGGTTGAGCCACGGGAGTAGGCTTGGGTGGGAGAGTATGGGCAGACCGCGGGGCGGGTTGAGAGCTCGATGCCAACGGGGAAGGTGTGGGGGCGGGAGCAGTTTGTCTGGACTTCTGGGGCCCAGAAACACGGGAAGCGGGTTTCAGCTTGGGGTCGGGCTTGGGTTCCTCTGGGATTTCGCCTTCGCTCTCTTCCTCCTCATGCCGGGCAGTAGTCTCTTGTGGTGCATACGAGCTGGAGGAAGAAGAGGACGCTGACACCCGTGCCGGGGGTGGAGCCGCTGCATGGGGGTCAGTTCCAGTACCAAGCCAGACTACCTGCACTCACGGGAAGTGGCAAAGCGCGGTGCGCGCACGGTCCGCTTCTCATGATGGAGAGCAATGTATGAATCAATCTTCTCTAGTGTGAACGTCTGTGGCATAGGCAATAGAGGTAGGTGCTGCGTCGGCAGGGAGAGGGAGTCAGGTACGTACCCCGAGTTCTTCGTCGTATATCAGAACACACTCGATGTCCCGCGCAGGTTTCTCTTGTCCGGTGAAGTGTACACCATTCTCACTCTACCAGAGAGACTCGAATCGAATCATGAAGTTGATGGCGGGGTTCTTCGTAGCGAGACGCACCTGGGTGCTGGGCCGTACTACGCTGACGCTCGTGGGCCCATCCTTCGTCTGTCTGGCCTCGATGGTGCCAGGCTTAGACAAGTCAATGGACTCCGGCTTAAAGTTGTCTGGGAGAAGTGTGAGGCCACGGAGGATCCAAGCAATGTGGCGAGACAACCACTGACATCGCAAGGAGTAGAACTCTCGATCTCCGAACTTGCTCTGATTTTGGCCACCCTCGGACTTGCGTGCTTTCAAGACACGGCTCAGCGATGGACCAATGGAAACTTCGTGCCGTCCGGTGGGCATAGTGATGTTGGGTGCGGTGGTAGTCATTCTGAGAAAGTCGCCAGTAGAAGAGGACAGATATGCAGGGAGCCAGGGCCAGTCAGTCGTGAACAAGGCGAGCACCCATTCAGCTTCAGCCACCGTGGCGCGGTGACCGCTGGGCTAACAATAGCATCATGATCCAAAGCAACTGTATACCAAAACCAAACAGGACAGCTCATCCATGGCCGACTAGCTCAGCTGGTTAGAGCGTGGTGCTAATACAAGTCACTTGACTGGACTACGCCAAGGTCGTCGGTTCGATCCCGGCGTTGGCCATGAGTTTTGTCCCTCCTTTCGTGCTTTGACCAGCGCAGGAAAGCATGCTTTTTCACTGTCAGGGTGAGGCCGCACGGGTTACGCACGGGGGCAGACTCAGAGTACTGGGGATTTGTTCGGCGCTTAGGGTCACTCAGCGGAATCCAGTTCGGAGGTGCTTTTCCAACGCAGAATCCGCGATGCTGCTCACTGTGACCACATCACCGCCCACGATTGTGTTAGCGACGTTCAACGGCACAGTTAGCTGTCGGACACATCTTGCAAGACGGGGCGGTCAAAGTAGGACACGACGATTCCAGCATGGACTCTGATCACAACCAAATCATCTCAGAATTGCAGGCTGAATCATTGGGGAATTGCCCAGTACTCTGAGTCTGAAGGCCACCCCCGTGCGTAACCCGTGCGGCCTCACCCTGACAGTGAAAAAGCATGCTTTCCTGCGCTGGTCAAAGCACGAAAGGAGGGACAAAACTAATGGCCAACGCCGGGTGAATCGCCCACTGACCTCCGGGCCCCCTGTTCATTGGAACGGGCTTTCCTTACCATGTCGTTCGCAAGTTTTTCTTATCTAGACATGTACAACATCGTCACAGAGGTGTCAACTATAGTACTTCCGCAGTCCATCACGAATCAGCTTGCACTCAAATGCATCTAAGCGGACATCACAACGTAGGAAGTTATCAAGTTCAGTGGCAGGCCACTTGGACATGACGATCATCCTGTGCTCACTGTCAACTCCGGCAGATACGAATCTGTCGATTAGACAGCCTAACGTACTGTCCACCAGCCGAAGGAAGACGGCGACCTCTTCCCATCGCCTCTCATTCCCAAAAGACGTCGATGAGTGGGTATTGCCAGTCCCATGGGGCACATATGAAGGCGATCGCATCTTGAATAAGGCATAAACTCGAGGTTAGCGGAAGTTCGAGCGGTTGGCTTGTAGAGCTGTACAACCCACCCTGTTTGGCTGGAAGGGAAGGCCGCCTCCGATCACAGTCTCTGACTCGCAAGAGGCTATGGAAGGAGTCCGTTCCTTTGCGCTACTTGAGACATGTGGCGATTGATTCTGCAGAAGGGCATGAGTTGAACGCGGATGGTGAACGCCATGAGAGACTGTGAGCTGGTACGAACAATTATCCCAGTGTCATGGTGGCCCGAGGTGCAAGGGTCCGAGGATGATTGGCACGGGATCCTTCCATAACGCCTCATCTCCGTGCGACACCGGTAGAAGAATTGTGCGCAATAATACCGAATCGGCCAGTGTCGCTGATACCGCGCGAACGCCGGATACGCCGAAACGACCTGCTCGTTGAACAAGCGATACGCGCAGTAAGTGGACTGTAACAGTGCGAGGAGGCATGAACACGATAGACATACGGACGAGATCAAGTTGTCCAGAACTGCAGGGTCTTGTGAACCCCAGGTCGCGCTGAGGTTCAAGTGTTTGGGTACAAACTTCCAGATTAACTTCTAGGCACGGTCAATGTAGTCAGCAGTGTCGTTGTAATAGGTGGAGTGGTGGGTGTACTGACCTTCGCAAGCTCAAAGTCGTCCCGGTCGCTCGGGCGCAGGCTGCGGTAGACTCTCTGGTAGCCATGGGCGGGCTCGGGTACAGCCTCACGAGCGCGTTGAAGTCGTGTGCGAGGCCGATCTGGGGACGTGAAAGACATTGCACGATGATAGAGATATCTGCGTGTACCGCCGACGACGGAAGGGGGTCACGGCGAACGCATTTATACGAGCGCGGACGTATCTGGGACGGGCTGTTCGGCATGGGATTGAGAGCGAGTACCGCAGCAGCTTGAGATTGCTTGAGCTCGTCGTCCCTGCGATTGCGGCGAAACCCGAGCAAGCGCCTCGAGTTGAGAGTGGATGGGCGAGGTGACGGTGAGCCTGGGCTGCAGCATTGGAAAGCAATGAGAAGTACAAATGCTATATGCAGGAAGATACACAACAAAACGATACAACACAGCTGGCGACAATTGAGCAGACGGAGCGTCCGCTATGCTTCCGACTTTTTCTTCTTCTTCTTTTTCGTCGCATCGGCATCTCCGCCCGCTGCAGCAGCACCTGCCGCGGCCGCAGCCTCCTCCTCCGCCTTGCGAGCCTTCTTCTTCGCTTTCCGCTCCTCCTTCGTCTCCTCTCTTGGCTGGACCCAGACGATCAGCGACCGAGCACCCCCGAAACGACATCAAACGACCCACCTTCTCCTCCGCGTCGACGTCCATCGCCTCGCTCTCTCTCCGTTTCCGCTTCTTCTCCTTCTTCCTCTCCTTGTCCTCGTCCTCTCCGTCGACGTCCATCCTCGCCTCCTCGATGCCCTCCGCGATCTGCTCCTTCTCCGCGCGCTTCTTCGCCTTGCGCTCCTCCTTCGCCTTCTTCTTCTCCGCCTTCTCCGCCTTGACGTCCATCACCGCCTTCACCGCCGCCTCCATCGGCTCGCGCTGCGTCGGGACGAGGTCGACCGCGTCCGCCGCGGTGTTGTACGTCTTCGTCTCGCCCGTCATCTGGAACCGCGCCTGCTTCTTGCCCGCGAACGCCGACCGCACCGTCGACGCGTCGCCCTGCTGCTCCAGACTGTGCAGCCGCGCCTCGAGCTTCGCCCGGTTGTCGAGGCCTATTGACGGCGCCTGCGGCTCCGACTTGCCGTCCGCGTCGGAGAGCGCGTCGACACGAATCGAGAGCGCCGCTTTTGTCGCGACCATGCGCGCCATCTTGCCCTTGAGCTTTGGCGGTGCCTGGCCGATGAGGGATGCCTGGGGGAAGCGCGTGTCACCGCGAGACTCTATAGGGCGGACGGAAGACGACTCACGTGGTAGATGAGACCGTACTTGGGCGTGTCGTGCTTGGTCTTCAGAGCACGGAAGAGCGCCTTCTCGGCACCGAGGATCTGGATCGTACTTGCTGGGTGTTTTGCGAGAGAGAGCAAGCTGCCTGCGTGGCTGATGAGCCGTGCGCCGACGAGGTCACCAACGAGAGCAGTGAGGTTAGGTGCAATCGCGTTCATGCGATTCCGGAGGTACTCCGCAAGCTGTGTGCGGTATGAGGAAATGGAGATGACTTGGTCACATAGCGAGTTGATGTGCGCCATGTCGGATTCTGAGATGTCCGTGCCCATAGAGATGACGGCTGCCGCCTTCAGCGTCGCCTCAAGGTCTTCGGGAAGGATGGCAGCGAAGTCGGTCGTGGCAGCATTTGTTCGGAAGCCTAGACATAGTAGTCAGTAGTTGAGTCGCGTCCTTGTCAGTCTCTAGAGAGGACTAACCCATCTGCTTGATGACCTTCGCATACGCAATGTTGTCGACGATGATCTTCGCCATTTCCGGGAAATGCCAACCGTACCATTCCTGATAATACAACGTTCGGGAAAAGCACGCTGACGCGTCGGCAACGAACTGACCTTGACACGCATGGCGTAGATGTTGATCTCCTTGTCCAGGTCATCGAGAAGCGCAATGGCCTGCACAATCATGGTATCGACCTTGTCTGGAGAGAACTTGAGCTTGAACCTGTCGCACCGTCAGACCCTTGCGGAACAAGACGTTCACGAGCAGACGCACCGTGATAATGAGTGACTGAGACCGAGGCTCATTGTTGCGAGGTCCTTCGGGTCAAGGCCGTCAAGTAATGAAGTCAACTGGGAGCGGATACCGTGGAACAGCTCCGTCATTTTTGGCGAGACCACCTTGATTCCGAGCTTCTCCTTAATGGCCTTGCCTGCGTGTCGACGTTTAAGAACGACGAGCAGCGACGTCAATGGTGGAGACGACGCACCCAGAGCACTTTCGAACACGGCTAGAGTCTCCTTGCTCTTTCCCTTGCCGACGACCTCCTCAGAGAGGAACTTTTTGAGCGATTTGCTGAGCTTCTGCTCATGCAGCGCAGTGATCTCCTCTACCGCGGTCGCGGTCGAAGTGAACCGGTGAATAGCTTTGAGCTTGAGACTATTCCATGAAGTTCACGATCGCACACAAGTCGCATTGGACCGAATGCGAGGGTACACAATAATGCAAGACAATCAGCTACCACGCCCTCCACCTCTCGCACCAAAGACCACTCACAGCTTGTTCGCCTTCTCCGGAGTCTGAAAGTCCTTCCACACATCCTCGCTCTCGAGCTTCCCCTCGTCCGTGAGCTTGAACAGACAGTATCCGAGCGACGTCTCGTACAGAACCAGCATTTTCGGCGTCCTCTGGTGCGCAGCAGCAACAGTACACCAGACGGCAAGTGTAGACGGCGAGAGACGGAGCGAGAACACTGAACAGCGACCCCAGAGACGACTTTGCAGCCTGCGCCCCGACCGCGTGCCGAAATTTTGAGCAAAGTGCGCGTGGGAACACGTGCCCGAGTCGGGCAGGCGCGATCGCGCTCGGCGTCTCTCTGTCCGTCGGTCCGCCTGCGCCGTTGACCTCGTTCGTTCGCGGGTCCGGATTCGCAGTCTGATTCTGAACGCAATCCACGACTCGACCTCAGTGGGAACTCGGGAGCCGGGGTCTGTCTCCTCCTTGTTCTTGTCCCACCATGTTCAAGTCTGTAGCGATATTTACTGCGCTCGCGTTCGGCTGGCTGGCTAGTGCTCAGCAGGTCGTCCTGGACGGGCACACGGCGTTGCGTCCAGCGGGAAACTTCACGGTCTCGACGCGTTCCTTGGCCTCCGTCAACACTCGGGACGAGTTCCTCGCGCTCTCGCACCCCCGCTTTCCTGCCCACCAACTGCGCATCAAGAAGACCGAGTTCTGCGACCCCACCGTGAAGTGAGCGCCGCTGGTCTAGATCTCCTCCGTCTTCACGCGAGGAATGTGTATGTGTGTGGTGCTGAGATAGAGATGCATGACAGCACGTACACGGGTTATCTCGATGTGGACGGCGGCGCGAAACACCTGTTCTTCTACTTCTTTGAGAGTCGTCGCGACCCCGCGTCTGGTAAGCCCGGAACTGCGCCATAGGTCTTCTACTGCTACTAACCCTCGTTAATTGTCTATTGATACCAGACGACGTCA